GACTGGTGAGAATAAAGCACAGAGCTGCAGGATACTTCCCACACAGGAGGCCAGGCCTCAACAAGGACCACCTCAATTGAACCTGGTTCCTTCAGTAACCCTACCCAGTTCCAGTTTTCGTTTTTATACCATTTTCAGAGTGAAATCTGATTTTTCTAAAAAAACGAAAAAGCAGTTTCTTCGCTGTTTCTGCACATGGCTCTCCTCTGTACAGGCTGCCTGTTCCTATGTTTGCCCATTACTCCATTAGCTTCTTTCACTGAGTCATGCAGGTTCTGTATACTATGGACACAACCTCCACCAGGTAACTCCACTGCACGTATGTGGACTTCTCTGAGACTTCAAGTATCTGCTTCTTTCTTGTGTCCGTTGACCTTCACTGGTATGTAGGAAAGCCAAGCTAACTGTGTTGGCCAATCTGTGCTTGACGTTGCATTTAATACGTAAATATTATAATTAAATGTTGCAAACATAGAATTAGGTAATTCTACGCGATGCTTACAATGCTCTAAACATTTGCTCACACATAAGTCAGTGGTTAGAAATACAATAACCGTTAACAGTAATGACAATGGTGCCTGTCTTAATACCTCACAGGACCGCAGCATCCCTTAGATTGCAAAATGCATTCATTCTCTCATTTAACTTATGAGTTATGATAGAAAAACACCACAAAATAGCCACTCAGCTCTGCCTCTAAATAAGACATCCGAAAAATGATTCATTCACAAGCAATCAAAATTCTTAATAATAGTCGGAAAGTTCTCAGGGATCCCCTCCAACCTTAACTTATGGCACCCCAATGGGCTATCCATTCCACCTAGGGATTCCCCTGGAACTCACTCTACAGAAGTGTCAAGTCGAATGGTTGACACCCTCAATCCTACTGCTTTACAATCTGCGGGAGCTTTAAGAGCACACGCCAAACTCCCTTGCTGCCCAAGAGCCTACGGCTCATTCCCTTCTGAAACGGCTATCACTTTCAAGGCTGCCTCGCCCAGCACTGCACAAACAGGCTCTTAGGAATCACTGCTCACTATTAAGATGAAGACAGAATTTCTGTCAAACAGATTTCACCACATAATTTGCATCCTACTTATTTACACAGTCTTCTTTAATAATGTGACCCAGATTAATTTAGTCCTGAAGGCTAGAACTACAGGACTTAAGACTTAGCTACATAATTTCAGGAAAGTCAAATTTTTTTCGCATTGACTCCTACAGATAACAAGTCAGAAACTCAACAGTGCAGAGTACACTGTGCAGTCACGGTTCCCCCAAGAGCCGTGTTCTGGCCCCAGCACCTGTGAGCAGCACCTGACACGAGGAAAAGCCGCCACCCACGAGGGGTCATTTGAGTCCCACAACTGCTTAAGGGAGCAGAGCAATAGTCGGAGATGCCGGAGAAGGGTGGGACACGCTCTCTAGATCCAAAGCTGGAGCCAGAGTGCCATGAGTGAAGCCAGGCGGCAGCTTCAAGGAGCTGCAGTGCTGCAAAAGGCAAGAAAACAGATGGTCCCCTCCCAGCAGGTGTGGGCAACATCAGAGACCATCTGACCTGGTCCAGCCAAGGCAACCACACACGGGACTCAAGATTAAACTCATCCACAGGCAGCTAGTTATCAGGTGCTCATGCTGCATGGCTTATCAGCGAGGCTACAAATCTCCAAATGGCCATGAGCAGAGGAACGACTCCTCAGCCCTACGAATCTCAGCCCTGCCACCACCTTCATCTCAGCCAGAAAGGTCTGCGTTCAACTTTTAACCTAAAAAACTAAGTTATGAATTCAGGTTATGGAGACTAGTACATTTATGCAAATAGAAAACCACACACTGTAACCTACGTGTCTTATTTTCAGCAAAACAAAATTGTGAGAATACTCTAACCTGGCTTCTGAGCGGACAACACAGCTCTGCTGCCTGCCTCATCCTCAAAATGGGGTCCTTAGCAGTACCTATGTCCTAAGACTGCTCAAGGGCAAAATGAGTCGATTCATGTCATGCCTTAAAACATTACATCATGCACAAGCACACCTTAACCTCGACTGGCAACCGACTTTAATCAACAAAATCTTAACTACTTTTGTCTACCATCACTCACGGAAAATGCATCAGGGTCAACAATCTTCAAAACCCAAAGAAATAAACCCACCCGAAGAAAAAGGTTTCGGGCAGACAGGTAGCAGAGGCAGTTAGGTCACCACTTGGAAAGACAATCTCCACATAAGATGCCTGGTTTGAGTCTCAGCTACTGCATTTCCAATCAGCTTCCTACTAATGCACGCCTTGGGAGGCAGCCACGGACAGCCCAAGGACACGGCTCCTGGCATGCCTGGCATCACTGGCATCCTGGCACAGGACTAGGCTGAGTTCTGCCCTCCCAGCTTCACTCCGGCACAGCCTTGCCCTGGCTGCTGTGATCATCCGGGAGTCTGTATGAGCGGCTGGGGGGACAGTATGAGCCAGCAGATGGAAAACCCCTCCCCAAGTTCTCTCCACGTCTTTTGAAAAAAAAACATGGAAATAGAAAATTGCTTACAAAATACAGAGAAAGATTTGTGCCAATCTCAACAAGCAGTTCTATAATGGTTCCAACACTATTACCCTATGCTAGTGTGATAAAGCTTCAAGTGTGATTCGCAGCACTGCCAAAGTATTACCATAAACCCCACAAGGTGGAGAACGCCAACAGCAGGGCCTGACAGAGAAGCAGTGCCCACCACTGTAATAAAACAGGGGAAATCAGTGGGGGGAGGAAGCTTAGGGGGAGGGTTAGGAGAAACCCCAGAGCCTTTGGAGTTGTACCATAAAGAATAAACAAATAAAACAAAAAATATATTTTAAAAAAGCAGCATCCAGCACAAAGAAGAGTTTCCTTATTAAAAATAACAGGTGTAGTAAAATTAGTTTCTATTAACATCTGTCATAGTTGATGCTTCTCAGGTATTTGGTATTTAAACAGCACTGTTTGTAACGCCTACCCTATCATTTCTTTAAAAACAAATTTTTTCACCTTGCTATTGATTTACATTTACGTAAGTTGTTATAAGTAATTTATTTACATAATTATAATCAGGCTAAGCAGTTGTGATTCACGTTGTAAAAATGTAAAGATGAAGCAACTGGTAAGTTCCACAAGAGGCACAGATGAAACACAAATCCACATGTGAATGCTCTCCCTGCACTGACTCCACGCTGCACAACAGCTCAGAGCAGTGGCAAAGGGGAAAAGGAAACCTGCTCTAGGGACAGGAAACGCATAACAAAAATAAATGGTTCAAATTAAAAACAAAGCCGTTGCCAAATAAACCAACAAAAGAAAAAGCTGCATCAAGAAGTTCTACAATTTTCTACATAAAATTTCAATTCCAAAGCTAAATAATTCTAAAATTAAATAACATTTCAAAAAGCAATGAAATATGCCCAACATATTAACAAAAAATTTTCAATTAATCATGCAAAATATTCTGAATGAATGCAAATTATTTTCCTGCTTTTTCTAACCTTTTCATTACTTCAAATGTCAACCAAAATCCCTGTAAGTGTGAAGTTATACAGCCTTTTTCCAAGGGCAGCGAGGCCCTTGCGGGCTCTCCCATGGTACCCATTCCTCTTCTCGCCAGCAGAGCTCTAAGGGTTAACTCCGTGCAGAGTTCAGAACTCCTGAGGCCCAGACAGGACACTGTGCAGGCCTCAAGGACGCTGCTTCAAGTTCCCCAGGTACATGTGCAGTGTACACAGGCAGCCCCATTCAGGAGTGCGAGACCCCTGGACTTGGAACAGAAATCACATGCTGAAGAGCTAATGCGAAGGGAGCGAGGGCACACAAGGATTTGGTGCAGCAATTCAACTGCTCCTTGGCCGCTTCACATCTCATTCTGCAGTGCCTGGGTTCAAGACCCCATCCTGCTTGGTACTTATCTTCTTGGCAATGCACACCCTAGGGGGCAGCAGATGATGGGTGAGGTAGCTGGATCCCTATCACCCTCACTAGGCCAGTATTGAGTTCCTGGCTTCCAGACTTGGCCCAACCCAGACACAGCTGCTGTAGGCATGTGGAAAATGAAAGAAATTAAAAATTAAATCTTTTTCTACTCCTTCCTCTTACAAATTTTTTTTAAATACTAATTAAATAAGTAAATATAAACTAAAAAAAGCCTTTAGGAAGGGCCCCGTATGGCAGCGTAGTGGTCAAATCCTCATCTTGCTGGGATCCCGTATGGGTGAATGGTTTGTGTCCCAGCTGCTCCACTTCCCATTCAGCTCCCTGCTTGTGGCCTGGGAAAGCAGTTCAGGGTGGCCAAAAGCCTTGGGACCCTGCGCTCATGTGGGAGTCCAGCAAGAAGCTCCTGGCTTCAGATAGGCTCAGCTCTGGCCACTACGACTACTTGGGAGGGGATGAAACAGCAGACAGAAGATTTTTCTTTGTCTCTCTCTGTGGATCTGATTTCCAATAAAATGTCAACAAATAAATAATTAAAGAAAAACTTTCAGGGACTAGACATAGAATACAATGCATGAAACAACTGGGTAAGAGCTAATAGCAGCAGCAAAGGTTACAGCAAAAATAAAAGCAAAGGCTTTTTCACAAAGTAAACACGTGTACTGCAGGATTAGAGCAGGCGGACCAGGTCCAACCCTTCCTACGCAATGGGCTCCAGTTGTATGTCCTGTGAGAGGTGAACAGGTAAGAGCTCTCCAGATGCCCAGAAAGCCAGACCTCAACCCAAGCCTCTATGGCAGTGCCAGGGAATCCACCTGAACTACCACCTGCTGCTCCTGGGGTCTGCACCAGCAAGAAAGGGAAACCAACTGCCTCAACTGGGAAGTGACCCCAGGCATGCCAACGTGGGATGTAGAGACTTAACCCAATCTGCTCTCCGACCTGTCAGCACGGACCTTCTCAGGGACACCGAGGGCTCAGCAGAAGCTCCCAGGCACCACCCTCCCCAGACACCCGAGCTCTGCCTCAGACGGCAGCACACTTCACCAAAGCCTACCTCCGGAGCTGCCCGCAGCGGAGTACTGAGCGCCGTCGAGGAACTTGCGAGGAGTCGGGAGGTTGGTCACATCGAGCAGGGGACCTGGAGATGCATCTTTGCCAAGGCTGCAGAGGAAGAGGAGCGCTAGTTACCATTCTCTCCAAACCCACTGCAGGCTGCTCCAGATGAGCCTCATCAGCTTCCTTTCCATCATACGCCCTCCTGCTGCTTTGTCCACCTCTCTCAAGTGTACTTCCAGGAACATAATTTTAGCCACAGATGTGGTCAAAAGCAGCACTCCAATTTGGACGGGCCGTTTTCATTTGACGTTACCTTTAATAAGGTAACTGTACACTCGGGATCCCACGGAAGGCCCTCAAGCAATCAAGTCACGCCAAGCACCTTCACGCGCCCCTCTGCAACTCATTAGCTTGATCTATCAGTTCTGGTCCTGAAATGAAGGCTTAGGAGAATTAAATCCTGCTTCAACTCGTGTTTTTCAAATTAAAGTTTCTGACATATTCTAGGAGTTCACCTCACTTACTTTTCTTCAAAACAGACTCAAATGTCAGCAGACTCAGAATCAGATGGTTTAAGGCATTCCAAATGGGTTAATCCAGTATTTGATCATCTATTTCATTCATCTATTTTCCAAAAGAACTATACCCCTCCTACAAATGTCCAGCTTTAAAGTTTCCAAAATGAGCATATTTCAGTGACACAAAGATTTTTAAAAATACGTTTTTTTCTTCAAGGTAACTTGGTAATTGATAAACACCGACTAAGCACAAAAACAGAAGTCAATCCGAGGGAGCAAAACCTGTGCCCTAGCCTCACGCAGCTAAACCACCTGGCTAGGCTGCGTCGAGAAGGGCTTTCTGTCCCAAGCGTGGGAAGGTCAGGACCACAGCTCTCACTTCCCTCCAGACTGTTGGCAGAGCCAGCCCAGAGGCGGCAGCGTGGACAGCTCCCGCGCACAAAGGACATTTCCAAACGGAATGGAAGGATGACACAGCTGTGATTAAACCTGCCATCCCCTAGGGATGCACACCATCTCCTTCCCACAGCAGTGAGTTCCTTAATTTCTTTATTTGAACAGCAGAGCAATAGAGACAGACAGACGAACAGAGAGACTCTTCTATCCACAAGTGCCTACAACAGCCAGGGCTTTCGCAGGCCAAGGCCAGCAGCCTGGAACTCGATCCAGTCTCCCACTTGAACCGGCCACCTGTTGGACTAGGAGCAGAAGGAGAAGCCGAGGTTCCATCCAGCACGTGGATGCAGGACGCAGATGTCCCACCCAGAGGGAGGCCGCTCCCACAGCACAACACTCTTCCCACTAGTGTGTATTTTAAGGCTAACAGTAAACATTCATTCACAGATTTTTTTTTTTAGAGATTTTTTTTTTTTTTTATCGCAAAGTCAGATTTACAGAGAGAAGGAGATACAGAGAGAAAGACCTTCCATCCCCTGGTTCACTCTCCAAGTAGCCACAACAGCTAGACCTGAGCCAATCCAAAGCCAGGAGCCAGGAGCTTCCTCCAGGTCTCCCATGCAGGTGCAGGGTCCCAAGGTTTTGGGCTGTCCTCCATTGCTTTCCCAGATCACATGCAGGGAGCTAGATGGGAGCGGGGTTTGCTGGGAACAGAACCAGCACCCCAATGGGATCTCAGCGTGTTAAAAATGAAGGCTTTAGCCACTAGGCTACCGCGCCAGGCCCCAGAAATTTTTGAAAAGCCAATTTTGTTAGTGAAGTTGATATTACCCTTGCTGAGTGCTAACAATGTGTATGTGATGATCACAGGCCTTAAGGATAACCACGAATCCTTAACTCCTCCGCTTGCACCCACTCCAGGGAAAGGGGGAATCAGTATGCAGACACTCGCAAGATCTGCTGTGTGTTTGGCACTGAGCTCAAAGCTGAGGATGCAAAAGCATGACGGAGGCACAAATGAAGCCAGGCTCAGCTCACTTCCAAGACTGACGACAACTTGCAGACGAACGCGAATTCTGGAGGAAGGTAAGACGTAAAGCGGACACAGACAGTAATGACCAGGAATTAAACTGGCATGATTTCAACTATGCTTTTTCCACCAATATACAGCTGTAACTTCCTCAACTTAACCATCTCAAGAAAACCCCATGGTACCCAATCACCACAGCAGCTGGCATGTTTATACAATCAATTACATATTTAACCCTTTTTTTCATCTTTCCTGATAGCTTTCACCTTATTGCTCCTCTTTCTGCCTCATCCCATTTAAACTGCACCTTTCCACAAAGGGAAAAGCAGCTTCGCACTACTCCCCTCGCCCTGGAAACACCCAAACCAGAAGTCAGAGTTGGCTACTGAGCAATTAAGAAAAGCTGATTTCACAAAAAAGGGTAATCTGAACCTTGAACAATGGGGAAATTATATGCTACATTTTATAAATGTTGGAATAACAATGTGGAGCTGTTCTTTCTGTTTCAAGCACAGATAAAGGTATCAACGAACAGGACATGGAGGTGTGCGTGTGTGCTGGGACGCTGCCCACCAAGCCACGAAACACACTGACACGCACACCAATGCAGCTATACAGCTATAGAATACTAGACTATAAATGGCCATAAGCTCAGCTTTACACATGATTCACTTTAGATTAAAAACCCACAACCATTTTCTCCCAGTTTTAACCTAGAAATTTCAGCCAAGTGTAGGGCGATAAATGGCTTGCCATTTCAACTTTGAAAAACATAGCCTGCTGACTTTATAATAACAGCCAGAGGGCCCTCAACTCCATCAATAAACTTTCAGAAAGTCAATTTAGTGTAAATCTATTTTCATAGACTCATCTCTCTCTAAAATATTCCCTCCGGCTTCAATTTTTTCTTTTGTGAGCACTAACCCAAAGGCAAGCAACTCTGGAAATGACTTTTTTCTTGTTCTTTTCTGGTAGGTTCCAGAGGAAGGCGGCACACCCATTGCATAAGGACCACGGACAGCTGAGCAGCTCAGCCAAGGGCAGGTGCTGCCACAGAAAGTTCTAGTTTAATACCAGGGACTTGAGTTTCTTTCAGCAGAGAGAAAAAGGCATCTTCTCACTATATATCTGAGATGAAGCTGAGAAGATATTAAGCCTTCAAAGAATTCGAAATCTCAAGGGATGTATTTCTCAAAACAAAAAAGAATAAAACTTGCTGTTATGTTAAAGTTTGTAATTTGAATTCACTGAATGGCTTTATTCTGAAAGAAATATCAACAGCTATTTTTCTTGCTACAGACCTATGACTACAGCTTCTTATTTTAAATACATTCATCAGCAGCTGCAGCCAGAAGTTAAATGTATGCAACACTCCTCCTAGAACAAAATACACCCCTTAAAGTTACCAATTATGTGTTGTGACTGAATGTGCTTTGCTGTTTAATAACATGATTGTGGGCAGAAAAACCACAAAGCCAATTAAGCTACAAACACAACCACCACTGCCACCAAAGCCACAGAATTTTCTGGCCGTTCTGTTTTTAAAAGTGTTTGATTTCAAAATTTCAAGTCATGGAAGCAATTGTTGTCAGTCTTTGTAACAAGGGTTAGAAGCACTGACAGCTTATTAAACATTTGATTTTTAATTAGAAGCTATTTCTGTTCCTTCATCTGACAGTAACTGGGTCCAACGATGACCAACACTCACAGCTGCAGTCCATGAGTCTGAGGTCATCATCAAGCTGAAAACTGGGAGAAGTGAGCTAAACTAAGCTGCAAATGGAGCAGGTGACAGTCACCTCTGTAACCAGAACTGCCACTGCACCTGTAAGGGCCCACGCTCACGGGGGTTTGTTAAGTCAAACCGCACTGTGAAATGGCTGTCCACAATAACATGCCCTAAGTAAGAACATGTATCTGAATGATGGAGCACCGATGGCTGCCATAGCAACTCGCTATGCTTCGAAGATCTGGCTAAACACACAGAAGGAACAATAAATGATTTAGAAGATAGAAAAGTTTGAAAAAAAAGTCATGGCTTCAAATGATAGTCCAAGGGTAAAATAAAATAAACTGATACGGAAAACTAAAAATCTAAAAACCAAGGGGGGAGGAATAATTAAAGGAAATCAGACTGTGCAAGTGAAAAAAATTACTTAAGGATGAAATAGTCAGGGAGCAACTAATTCAATGAGAGCCAGGACACTCACCACATACCCAGAGACAGACACCCCAAATTCACATGCCTGAAATGTGCTCTGCAGCAGAAGTCCAGATGCAAACGAGGAGGATTAACTATTTCTAATATTTTGTGATTTGATCTGACTATAAAGCTATATGGTCTTTTTGGGAAATATAAAGAACATAAAAAGCTATGCTCATCAACTTGGTGTAATGTATTCCAAAATGTTTTCCAGAAAGGAGTCTGGATCTTTGGTTACACACCTCCAGAAAATGGCACACTCTATTTACATTTTTCTTAAAATTATCCTATTAACAACTTTGAACATTTCACACGCGGGTGCAGGGTCCCAAAGCTTTGGGCCGTCCTCAACTGCTTTCCCGGGCCACAGGCAGGGAGCTGGATGGGAAGTGGGGCTGCCGGGATAGAACCAGCGCCCATATGGGATCCCGGGCGTGCAAGGTGAGGACCTTAACCACTGCGCCACCGCGCCGGGCCCAATTATTTATTCTTATACAGAGGTAATATGTGTGGTCATCTCAGCTGTTTCAAACTACTTACAACTCAATTGTTCTCAAAGCATAACTTTGATATCCTATGGTCCACTTCTGAGTATTCTTTCTAAACAAACCAAAACCAAGATCCCAGCAGAGATGTCTTTCCTGTTGTAAATGTCTATCTAAGACGCAGTTCTGCCACACGTGACCATCACTGTCCACCTGGCTATCCGGCCATCACTGAGCCATCCTTGCTGCATCCTCTGCACAAAGTGCTCACCAAATCCTGGGAAGGCCAGCTTCCACTCTTCTCTGGGTGTCAGAGCAAGGCTTCACTGCAGAAAGCAGAGGATGCAAGCAGCACTAGATACAACTCTCACTTAGATAAGAAGCTCAACACCATCAAAGAGTTTAGGGCGTGACTCTTGCTCTCAGACTCACACCAGGGTCTGAGGTGGCTTAATGGCATCGCTCATGTCCCTCACAAACACTAACAGACAGCAAAGGGGAAAGTACCCTAGACCACCGTGCTGAGTCTCCACTGAACAGCTTGCAAGGTGAAGTTGCACTCAACCCGCTAGCCTTACAGAGCAGGGAGAACGAGCCTTTTGGATTAGTCTATGCACACAAGGAACACAACACCTGTCATTAAGAAAGAAGAGGGAGAGCGCAGCGCAGTGGCCTAGCAGCTAAGGTTCTCGCCTTGAACGTGCTGGGATCCCATATGGGCACCAGTACTAATCTCGGCAGCCCTGCTTCCTATTCAGCTCCCTGCTTGTTGCCCGAAAAGGCAGTGGAGGACGGCCCAAAGCCTTGGGACCCTGCACCTGTATGGGAGACCCGGAGGAAGCTCCTGGCTTTGGATCAGAACAGCTCCAGCCATTGCGGCCACTTGGGGAGTGAATCACCAAATGGAGGATCTTCCTGTCTCTCCTCCTCTCTATATATCTGACTTTGCTTCTGATTCTCTGTATCAGTTTGTTCTGAGTTGTTTCTGCACTGGCGCATTAGAGCTTTCTCTGCTCTGAGCTCTGAAGGCAGGAAGTCTAAGACCACAGTCCAGGCGGTGCTGCCATCATCCGAGGTCGGGATCCGTTACTTGCACATATCTGCCTTCTCCCTGCATCTTCACGTCTTCCTCTGCACCTGCCTGTGCCCTGATCCCATCTCATAAAAACACCAACACTGTGGAACTGGGACTCACCTGACTAAACTTATTTCAACACTATTACCTCTTGAAATATTGCCTCTAAATACAAACATATCCTAAGGCACAAGATTTCAACATATGATTTTAAAGCCAGAGGCGGGGGGAGGGAGGGGCGGGCAATCTAATCCTTGGCATCCTCACTTCAGTGGGATAAAGACCCAGACTGGTCACTGTGTCATTTGGTACTTAACATCTGTCGTTCACCACCTAAGGAAAGCTGACCCAACTCTTCTGTAATTTTTATTTGAGAGGGCAAACAGACATCAAGCTCTTCATCCACTGTTCACTCCCCTAAATGCACACAGAAGTTAAGTCTGGATGGGCCAGTCCAGAACTGAGAGCCCAAAATTCATTCTAGGTCTCCCATGTGAGCATCATGGACCCAGCTACGACACAGCTACTCACCTGCTGCCTCCCAAACGCACAGAAGAGGAAGCTACACAGAAACAGATGACTTGGAACTGGAACCAAACACTCTGATGTGAGATGTCTTTAACGTTGTGCTATACCTGGCCAGCAATGTTTTAAATAAAGACTGAAATCCACCTTTTCCATCTGGGATTTCCTTACATTCCAGTCACGTTTTAGTTAGTACCATTTTATCTTCAATGCTTTCATACAGCTCCTCATTACTACTGCATAGCAGCTATATGTGTAAAACCCCAACCTCTCCAAGAGCTTCAAACACAAACAAACATACACTTTGGCTGGTCCAAGCTGGGCAGGCCGGCCGGGTTCAAGCAGGTCCCAGGTCTCCCTCACTCACCTTCTGGGACAAGGCCAGTGCATCAGTGCCAGACACAAGGGCATTTCAGGGGCCCCCATCTCCTGCTCTATCACGTGCTAATGACTGGCAAAGCCCACCATTTAAAGCCAGGAATGAGGCAGCGTACAACAGCCATGTTCCTTGCAGCTCTTCAGAAAATTTCAGCTTAAGTGGTTCACTTTATAAAGTTTAAGGCTCTTCCTCTGACACTACTAGACAATGCTCACCTTCCCCTTATGCTACGGAATACTTTCACAGCACTCAGTGGTTTTATTATTTGTCTTCATACGGGGGGAAAAACCCTATCCAGAACTGCTATTTGCCCACAAATACCAATACAAAAAATGTTCTTACTACCCCACCTCCCTGCCCATCACTTCATCCTCTGCCAAGGTACAATCCTTATCCTGCTCACATCTAGTCTTGCAGCCAGTCTGAGGTACAGAATCCCTACTTGCCTATCTGCTTTGCTGCCGATCTTGCAGTGCCTAACTACTCAAGAGTCAGGTCTCCAACAAAGCCAAAGAATCACATGCAGACCTAGGCATTTTTGCTCAAGCAGGACAGGTCTTACAAGACTTCATTTCTGGCTTACACTGCTTCCAGTGCTCCACCTGTCTGCACTCAGATAAAAACATCAGTACAGGTCTACCTGAGGAGAGTGCGCTCAAAAGCCCTCTGGAAAGCTCAAATGGCTACCTTTTTTATATGTGAAAGACAAAGAAGATCTTCCACCTTCAGGCTCATTCCTCAACTGTCTGCGACAGCTGGGGCTGCCCAAGCCGAAGCCAGGGGACAGGAGCACAGTTCAGGACCCATGGGTGGCAGGGATCCAAGCACTGCAGTCATTATTTTCCTTCCAGAGAGCAAATTATCAGAAAAGGTGGAATGAAAAGCAGAGTCGGGAATCGAACCCGACTACTGCAATACAGGATGCTAGCATCTGAAGCAGCAGAGTAACTGCTACACCAAATGCCCACACCTCGTATCTATCGTAAGGGAATGCTGGAAGTTATCGGACTTACGAGGGTACTCCAAGTTTATTTTGGTGCAGGGGGAAAAAAAGCTATGAAGTGGATGCATAGTTTGATAATGAGATGAATTTCTCATGAACTTCCTGTAGACTTTTTATGTATTCATTTCAGTGTTCTAATAATTTACATTCTATACCCTTAAATACAGGGCTATATACCACAACCAGCTTAGGGAAACAAGGTGTATTTTCCCTCCACCTTTCCTGAACAGTTTCAGAGAGAGAGAACTGCCTAGAGCGGATACATTCATAAACAACAACAAAAGCCTCACAACTTTTGATCACACGTCTACATTTCTTAACTGGGCTGACTTCACTAGCCAACATCATAATTGTTTTTCCAATTTCTCCTGAAAGACTCAGTATATAAAAGACCCATATATGTATATGTCCTTACACAAAAAGACTATGATAATTGCATGAACAAACTAAAATGCCAGCCTCTTAGAACACAAAGATGGTCTTATAATAGGAAAGTCTAAGTTTCAGAGATGGTGCATGAAAGAAGAATGTACAATATTCAGGGAAAGCAAACATGTTGCCAAGAATCCTATAAGGCCCCAAGTCGGCTGAGCCGAGATCCTCTTCAACCAACCTCGTCCTCCCCTTGTCCTTGCCGTGCTGCACCACTCGGCTGGTGGACCTGATGTACAGGTGCCGATGCAGCTCGTCGATGAGCACCAGGTGCAGGTTCATCTTCTTGCTGTGAAGCTCCAGTCTGAGGTCACTCAGTCCTTCCACCTGCAGCAAGGGGCCTTCCAAAGACTCAACTGCAGACACCTGGAAAGGGAAGCAGGCAAGCCTATTTGGTATAAGTAAACAACCCAGTGAGTTTGTAAATAAGATAACTGCCTTTTCTTAATAACCTAGCAAATGTTAACACTTATTAGCACATCACTGTAGAGCACAATGTGGACTGGCTCAGTCTAGCTCTCAAAAAATGTATCATATAAAGTAGATATCTCTGAAGAAAATGCAAACAAAATAGAAATGAAAACATGTAAAATTCCACAACAAAGCTGTCCATCTATACACACACAGACACTCAGGTGAAGACAGCTTCCCAATTAAATGATTGCATGGTTTACAGTCTAAGAACTCCACTGTTTACATGCACTTTGACTCCACATTCACCTTCGCAGACTAAGATGACCAAAAGCACGCTGTGTGTGCTTGTGGTGATCACCGAGGCAGCCAAGTTAGCCAGGTCATTCGTGGGCAGGAACCAAGGCCAGGCTGACACCAGCCACTGAGGTGAGAGCACCCTTCACACAAGGGCCCCACATGGAGAGCCCCGCCCAATCCCGTCTGACTAAAGCAAGGGCATTGAGCCGGAGACGCTTCAAAGTGATACAGGAATGCCCACAACAAACAGAAGATGAAGCGCCCTGGGACCTGTAAACAACTCCTTTAGAATCTCAACATGGTAACTGCCAAGAAAAAGACGTTTATGTAGGGTTCCTATTCATGGATATATAACCATATTTACGTGTAATCTGTATATACAAATCCTATACAACTTCAGGCTCAGAATATATTTGTGATATTTTTCTTTCAAGGAGAAAAACAAAGAGGCAGGAAACAAGAAGAATGTAAAAAACAAAACAAACAGAAAGTAGCTAGCTCCAAATTGAGCTGAGAAGGAAAAGAACACAACGGAGCTGCCTCGGAACGAACGCACTAGGACCGTTCTCTGATGTCGGTCAGCCGGCTCAAGGGCCCCAAAAGGTACAAATAAAAGCAGTAAGCAGGAACATTTCCATTTGATTGTGAAATGTAAGTAGAAACATACACCTAAAAAGTAAAGCATTTGTATAAGAGCAACAGATAAATACAGCCTTGAAACATCCTGGTGGTCCAAAATGCTGGCCACGGATGTACAGCAGTCTAAGGAGTTGTTGAGGAGTTTGTGAACAGTAAACAGACAGCTTTCCAGCTGCCAGCCCGAAACAGTGAGGAAAATGCCATGGCTTACCCACCAACACATCACTTGTTTTGTGATGTGCTATAATCAACTGTCAATAGCAAATGCATTTCCTTAAGTTGAGCAAGAAAGAAGCAAGCAAAAGGAAGAGTGGCAAGCCCAGGGCAGCTCTGCCCTCTGAAGCCTGCCACTTCATGTGCACACTTGCGACTGCCCTTGCTCTGACAGCCGCTGGGCCCTGTGCAAGCTGCCGGCAGCTCCAAATGGAAAGGCAGCTTCACAAAACGACCAACGTGTCCCCAAGGAGGAAAGCACAACAAATTCATTTACACTTATGCCCTAAAATGGATTTTAACTCAGGTCTCTAGCACAGAAAGGAGGATGCATTAACCTTCAGTGACATCAAGATCCAGAAAATGAAAAATAATTTGGTAAACCATTGGCCCGTCATGTAGCCTTATCCCTTAAGGTAATTAAATCCAGCTAAGATATTTAGGCTTAAAAACCATCCGCTGCACATATGCACTTGATTTGTTTGTGGGAATTTGCATGAAGATTTTTAACCCCAACAGTTCATGTTCCAAAAACAAAATTATGATGATGTCAATTTTCAATCCACCCAACTAATTTTTAATTCAAATAAAACACTTATCCCACTGTTTGAGTCATACTGAGTATTAAGATTATCCACAGAGTACTGTTACAGAAATTTCAGACAGTATTTCCAACATGTTTTTAATGCAGAATTTTCAGCAACTGTCCTTTATTTTGGTAAATCATTGTGACCACTTAAATGTTCAACTTTTTGAATGCTTGAACCAAAATACAAGTATTTAGATACTTGTATATTAAAATATATGCCACCAAAAGCTTGCCACCAAAAAATAAAGTCTCATTCCTGCTAGGAAACACAAATATTTCCGTTTCTGTTTTCCTAGCCTTTATGTAAGTCTATAAAGCTAAAACTTCTGAAGTAAGGCAAGATCACATTCATTGTCTTCCCCTATTCTAACCTTACTAAGTACTAAATAGTACTCACACCAATATGAAGGAAGAGATTGTAGGAACAACCACTTCAGCACAACAGGTTTCACCCACATCCCACACAGAGTGCCAGTTCAAATCCTAGCCACGCTGCTTGCAACCCAGCTCCCCAGCAGTCATTGCTCAAGGATTTGAACCACACGAGGGAGACCCAGCTGCAGTTCCTGACCCAGCCCCTGCTATTGTGGCCACTGGAGACTGCACCAGCGAACTGAAGATTCCTCAGCGTCACTCTGCTGGGGTGGACAACTAGAGTAATTGACATTCATCTTGCCTGGTTGTAAGCTGGGGTCCAGCCTGTGAGCTGTCAGTACCAAAACAGATTCACTTATGCCAAACCACAGTAGAGCTGTGTGGACAGGAAGGAGAACCCTCGCTTGCACATGCCTAGGACAGAAAGGATTACAAGAACTCTCTGCAAGCCACAATCCAACACAAGGAATAACCCTGGGAGGACGCCTGCCGCCTGCCCACCTGCCTGCCGCCTGCCTGCCCGCCTGCCTGCCTGCCCACCACCCGCCTGCCCACCGCCTGCCCGCCCGCCTGCCTGCCCGCCTGCCTGCCCACCGCCTGCCTGCCTGCCTGCCCGCCTGCCTGCTGCACATGCCATCCTTAGTGCTGGTCCTTGTAAACTGAGCATAACTATTTCAAAAGAACATAAGTAATCCCCCTTCTTTCACTTTTTCCTCAATGGGTTTATTAACACAATATCAATGAGCCCCATTCAGGAGCCCCATCTCCCTCAGGAAACCTGCACCTATAACGCAGACTCAGCACCTCTCACCATGAACAACGGATGCCGTGGACCTCCCCTCCCCTCCCCTCACTGCCGGAATTACTGCATGGTTTTATTTAATAAACCTTCATCAGTTCAGATGAAGGGCTGTTATTAGCTGAGCTAACAGCCAAATGATAATGCTCTAAAGAGATATCAGTGCTTGTTGGTGCATTAACAAAGAGGAGAAGGGCTGAGGGCAAGCCCTATCAATGTAAATGAGGCGATATTAGGGACTAAGGGCTTAATGCAATAGACTGCCTCTGAGATAATGGAATTTACAGGATAAAACAAATGAGATGAAGCTATTGATAAGTGAATGAAGTGGGGGAAGCCTATATGATTTAAAGTGCTGCCAAAGAAAAGGCCCTTCACTCATGAATTTATTCTTTAGGATATCGCCAAATATCTCTAAGAATAAAAGAGATCAAACAAACTTAGTCTACATAACGTCTCACCTCTTTACTACCCCAAAACACAGACTTTAAAAAGCACACTGCTTAAGCTTTCCCTTTTCTTCAACGGTCTTCCTTTCACAGAGTGTTCTACTAGAAATTATTTCCACATTTTATTAAAACATGGGGCAACCAGGTCTTCTGAGATACTCCAACAGCTCAAGCCTTACACAATGACAGCATGAGACCAAAGGGGAGAACCTTCTATCACAGACGTTTAAATATGGTTGATCAGAGAGACCACTCCAATTAACAGACCAATGTGAGGCCCAGAATTTTAACTTTGTTTTTCTAGCCAATTATAAAATACAAGCTCAACCAGAAAACAAAAACTCAAAAGACAAAAATGTAAGCGATACAAAGGAAGTAAGACAAAGTTCTCACTCAGATTTGATGTTTTCACCTGATTCTTCTAATCATTTTCCCTGTAGTTTTTATAAAAATGGCATCTTTAAACTTTTTTTTCATGTGGCAATACATTAATAAGGTAAGCTCACCCTTAAATGCCATATAGTTTTTAAGGTTACCATATTAATTTGTACTATAAACATAACAAATGGCTTACACCAAACTACTAAACTTCAGTGATTGCTATATTTTTACTTTCATAAGTTTTACTGGAATAAACATTCTTGTAAGCATACTGCTAAGCATAGAATTAAAATTCTTTCTTATTTTACATAAAATTCTACAGACAGACCAATAAAGAACCTATTCAGTAAGTCTGAGTGTGAGATTGGAACCAGCAATAACTGGAGGGTGTTGGAAAATGACTTGAGTGTTACACCTTGCAGAGTCCAACACATACACACACCACAAGGTTTATCCAGTTGAACAACATGTGCATATCAGTGACGGTAGCCCCAGACCACGACAGTTCTCCTTGGCACTGGGTCAGGGTGGGGACGATGGGGGGGGGGGGACTGCCCATCCCATTTCATTCTGCATACTGCTTTGTCCTCTATTTTTACACAATTCTGTAACATACACAAAGTGTATGTTCCCTACGCAGATAAGGGTACTGAAAAATAGGGAGAGGTGATTTCTGCATCTATGCTCACAGCATTCGGGAGTTACTGAGGAACAGAATTAAGAGCATCTTGTCCATTTTGCTTCCACCAGGCCTCACTATGCATTCCTCCCTCTGCATACTAAGCTGTGCACTAATCTCAACCCTTCAACACGTCACACTAGCACTCACACCAAAGGATGACAGCTCTGAAGAGCCCCAAGTCAGTCCCAGGCTGAGAAGCATCAAAGCTAACTATTACATAAACTTAGAATTTTCTTTTAAAAATCTACTTATTTTTGCTGGAAAGGCAGATTTACAGAGAAAAGGAAAGATCTTCCATTCACTGGTTCACTCCCAGGTGGCCGCAACAGCCAAAGCTCAGCCGATCTGAAGGCAGGAGCTTCTTCTGGGTTTCCCACACAGGTACAGGGCCTCAACGCTTTGGAACATCCTCTACTGCTTCTCCAGGCCACAAGCAGAGAGCTGGAAGGGAAGTGGAGCAGCCAGGATACAAATCACTGCCCATATGGGATCCTGGCGCATACAAAGCGAAGACGCTAGCCACTAGGC